CTTCTTCTTCTTCTTCTTCTTCTTCTTCTTCTTCTTCTTCTTCTTCTTCTTCTATTTCTTCTTCTTCTTCTTTTTCTTCTTTATCTTCATTTCTCCTCCTCCCCCATCTACACCTACGCCTCCTCCTCCTTCTTTTCTCCTCCTCCTCCTCCTCCTTCTTCTTGTTCTATGAACGCTTCAAACCCGCTGTGAGAAGATTGTCAAAGGCGTGAGACCGAAACCGGAAGTTCCCGTAAACCTACTTATTGTATAACTGAACACAAAATATCCTTCGGTGCAGTCGGCACTCTGCAGTGAATATACAATGTCGAAGCAAATGATGTCGATCACTACTAAAGGACTGAATTTAACTTAAAGTTGGCTTTCTTCTTACACATTTGATCTTAATGAAAATACAATAGTGCAACGCTACGTTTCAAGTTATGGGTACTGGCAAAGTTTCATATTTTTTCATTCGGTAGTTTCTGAGAATATACTGTTCGCAAAATTTGGCCTTAGCTCCATTAGTAGTAAGATTATTATGTAACTTCTATCGATCTTTCTCACTACACATTGTGTTTGACATTTAAGTCAAAATTACACAGGTCATCACCAAAATAACCTTTATTTCCACCACCACTTTGAACTGAATCTTCGATATCTTGAATAACGGCAACCATCATCACAGTGACATAGAACAGAATATTCGCCTTATAAAACAAAATTCAGCTCAACCCCCTCCTACACCACTTCTACCACATGAGCCTCCGCCAAAATAATCAGTACCATCCATCATCACACAGAACTGAACACGTCTTGCAAGCACCAAATGTACATACTCCTCCTTCCACATCCACTACTACAAGCCTCAACACCCACACCCCGACCACTACCACCAACACCGCCACTTTCACCATCACCTTTAACAACAACGTCACCACAACTACCATCACCACCTCCAAATCAACAAAACCAGCCCTGCATCACTACTCTAACCTTCCCAACCACCACCACCACCACTGCTATGGCACATAACTGACACGTTTTCAAACATCGAATTTACCTCTTCCTCCATTAAAACAAAGATAGCACATAACTAGATGGGCCACTCAGCCAAAAAAGTGTCCACCGGAAGTCCGCTCTTTGCTTCAGATGGCGCTGCAGTCTGTTT